CCCCCCCTACTGCACAAAACAAAAAGAGACAAAAAATCAATAGAAATAACAAACTACACACATATAAAAAGTGCGTTGCTTGTTGCGCCCGCTAACTAAATATACACACATGCATACGTATGCCTGTGCATGTGCATGTGTATGTGTGAATTTATTAGTTACGCTTTGAACTCTTTCTTGCACTTACCGTTGCTGTCTGAAAACACAGCCTACAAATGGTGTCCATGGCTCTGCTCCAGTTTGGCGGTAGGGGCAGGGGCAGGACAACGTGCTCGCTGCGTCTTGCGGTATTGTTATTGTTTCTTCTGCTGCTGATGCGGCGTCTGCTGCTGTTTCTGTTGTTTTTGTTTGACGAAGCGCATGTAGCGGCAAGGGGAGTGGGATCGGCTAACTTTACCGGTTAGCATTTACACGCATCCGAAAAGCTTTAATTACCTTGTGTTCTTTTTTTAACCGATGCAATAACAACACAGTGTAACACATATACACGCACACACACACACAAGTTAGCGCACGCACACAGAGACAGCGATCTGCGTTTGTTTAGTTCTTGTTCTTGCTGTTGTTTATGTTTGCCACTTGCACTCGCTTGCGATGTTTTTGTTGCTTAATTTCTATGCAGTTTTTTTCTCCTTTTTATTTTGGCGTAGGGTTAAAATTGCACTTTACTTTTTTTCTTTTTTTTTCATTTACCATTCACACGACGAAGGTTTTTCGTCCGTCGTCGTCGGTCGCGAGCGAACGAGCGTTTTTGGGGCCCCCGATGTTATTGTTTAGTTGTGTGTGTACGCTTGAGAAAAAAAAAAATGAAGCCAGTCGACACTATAGCTGCACTGCTTTGACACACTGCGCAACGCTATAGACAAACAAGCTGTCATCTCTGTTCACAGAACGAATAAAAAGATATTTCTAGTTAGCCAACACTGGATTCAAGTGTTGTACAATTTGAGCGCGGTATTTGAAACTTGAAACAAGTAAAATTTAATTAAACGAATATAGAAATAAAATCGCTAACAAACATACAATTTGGTGTTTAAATAGAAATAACGACAAATCAATTTAAATGCAATAAACGAACGACCAAAAGAACACATTAAATGCTAAAAATGCTAACGGAAACATAAAACGAGCTCGATTATCAATCCATATGGCTATTTCTTGTGGTGTAAGCGTTGTCCAACCAGTGGAAGCAATCTGTTCTTCATGGCTAAACTCCTCGCCCAACAAATTATTATTGCTACTAAAATCGGGAAGATCCATGCTGACTGCATTGGAAACCGACGCAGTAGCCGTCGAAGCAGCAGCACCCAAAGCACTTTCAACAAAGTTTACGTCCAGCCTGCGATTAGTGGTGCCGCTGCTGAGCATATCGAGACTGCCCTTGCGCTTGCGATCTGAATTCTGGTTCATCACTTGGCCCTCTGTTATAGTCGTGATTGGCAAATTGACAGTCAAATAGTTATTAAACGGCTGATTGCCTCCCAGCGAGCTGTTCTCCATTTGCCGCAAAATACCCGAAAAGGAGCGCGACCGGGCGTGACTGCGCCTACGCAGCAAATGCGGTGAGAGCGTCGACTTAAGAATATGTCGGCTATTGAGCTTCCGGACGGGTACGTTGCGTTTACGCCGCCAAATGGTATTGACAAAAGCAAATTCCAGCATGCTCCCGAATATGAAGATCGTGCACCCCAGAAACCAAACCTCCGACACTTTTATATAGCTAACCTTCGGCAAGGTTTTGCCTGTATGCCAACGCAAGAGTTCAAAAAATTGAAGATAATTAATAAATTATTAAATTACGTCACCTTGTGCCGAGGCCAGTGTTATGAATGTCAACATGGTACTGGTGCCCAGGGTAATGCGAGGTGGCGCCTGATCCGCTTGCAGCCAGAAAGATACCCACGAAATAGCCACAATCAGCATCGAGGGCAAAAAGTAGTCCATCAAGTAGAAGCCCACCACGCGCGTCAGGTGCACCGTGAAGCTCAGCGAGCTATAATTGCCGGCAAAAGCGCCGTGACGCAAGTCGCTCAAGTCTGCATTAATCACCGTCTCATTGGACCAGGAGCGCTGCAGGAGGAATTCGGTTAAGTGCAATGCCGGGTCGTATGTAATGGGCCGCCTTTGTTCCCAATGCAGCACCAGCTCTGATGTGTTATACATCCAGCTTTCTAGGACTGTGGAGCAGTACTGCTCATCGAATGGAAATTTCTTGAGATTTAGCCAGCAATAGAGTGTGGCCTTGATGCGCGACGAGACAATGACAGTTCCATCCGGCGATATGGATGTCAATATATCCTTCTCCTTGGTGCCTATTATAATTGTATAGAACTTTATTATCCTAAAAAAAATTAGTAAGCAGAGATTGAATGACTTGCCCAAAATACTGGAGTCACGCTCGTTGGCCAGAAATATGTGTGGCAGCCAGATGTTGTCGCGCAACTGCTGCTCCCCCAAAATGGGCTGTAAGCGTTTGGGTGCCACGTGGCGGAAATTTAGACGGGGATCCAAGTAGCGCATTTGCAGCAACGCAAATATTTTGAACTGCAAATCGTGTGCCTCCAAATTCTGCACAAAATAGATATAAGCGCGCATATACACATCCACCGGCAGACGTGCCCCATCTTCTGTGTAAGTAACGGGACGCTCCAGGCGATCATAACGACAGCCATGTGTTAGGCGATCGAGCAACTGCGTCTGCGATAAGTTGTCACCATTTGCCAGCGATGGGCAGTCGTCGTCGATGGCGCTTAGAGCGAGGCGCATACAGTTGAACAATATGGAAATAATAATTGACAAATACATGGCGACAATCCACTGAATACAACAATTTCGAATAAAATGAGTTGGCAAAAAGTTGCCTCAATAACGGTTAACACTAGTGGTGCGAACAGCTCTTTGATTTGCAGAAAATAGCGCCAAAGCTTATCGATAGCTGAGCAACGCTGTGCCGATAATGTTGGTCGTTACAGCCGTGGTGTAAAAACAGAACTATGTGCAAATGCTCGCTAGATGGCGTTCCCGAGAGTAGGTATTCACTAGATGGTGCCGAAAGCAAGCGCGTCGATAGATGGCGTCTCTCAAATTTATTTTGTGGGCGCGCAATAAATTTTGAACTTGTTTTATTATATTTTATTCGTTGTCAAGTAGAATATAATGCTTATCGAACTAGACATATTATATTATGATATCCTGGTATGTATGTAAAAACCTTTGATGAATTTTATCTGAATAAATTGTACATTGTTGCTCTGTAAATAAAAAAAAAAAAAAAAAATTATTGCAAGAAAATCCGCCATGAATAAAGAAATATTTAATTCGTTGGTATCCTGCTTTAAGCTTTCATTATGCACTTTACAACTTGTCAACCGTCGGAAGAAATATGGCCAGAGCATAGAAATGTTTTTTTGCATTGTTTGCTCAACTAAGCTCCATCCCCCTCACCGCCACACCCCACCCTCTTCATGAAATGCCCTAACCCTTAACGCCCCACCCCCAACTGTTGGTTGGTTTTCTTTTTCACTCTGCTTGTCATTGGCTGCTGCGCGTTGTCATTGGTAAGAAAGCAAGTTGAGCTTATTGCCAAGAAAGTGCCCAAACCCCAACCGAATCCCTCCGCCCATCGGGCCTGCCAATCGTCGAGTGCTGCATGAATTATGAGCGTCTGCCAAGATTTATGAATACCCTCCCCCACCCCCAAAGAAAAAAAATGATAAAAATGAAGTTAGAGTGTTGTAGTCGGTCGCAATCGACTGTCTGATGCTCGTTCACATTAGTGCCACGAGTCACTTGAATAGCAGATACCCTGTTTTTTACTGCTGCTCAGGGAGTATTGCATAGTCAAGAAAAAAAGCTAAGAAAAAATAGTTGTTTTTTTTTTTTTTTCTGTCTTTTAGATACATGCATATAAGTCTTATTTTTCTTGCATAATATTTTCAATTGTCTGTGACATGACTAGCAGATACCCTGTCTCTTACTGCTGTTTAAGGATTATTGGTTTGAACTTATTGTCTTTCTTCTTATACAATACCTTCAAGATTTTGTTATATGACTGGCAAAAAAAAAGCTGATGAATATGTTGTATATAACATATTTATGAGAATATATTACATTGCTCAACAAAAGAGTTTCTGTCGAAGAGCTGGAAAAAGTTACCTGTTTATAGCTAGGATATATACGAGTGCATAGAGCCCACATATCAAGAGGAAACCAAATGCATTAAACGAGCCAATATGCCCCTTTCGCTTACTGTAAAAAAATAAAACCTTTCACAAAGACCAAAGCTTCCACTCCCACTCCCACCTTCCCTCCGCCCTCTCCCACTGCCGCTGATGCAAACAAAAACCCTAAGCGAAAGCCGAAATCTGTCAGCTGTTAAGTTGCGTTGTAAATTTCCCGCAATTAGGTTGAATTTCAATTTCCCTTAATGCTGGAGGCTGGGATTGGGATTGGGACTGTGACGAGGATGGGGGCTGGGGCTGTGGCTGGGGCTGGGACTGGGTATAGCCAGCAGTCAGCTACTTATTTTGATTGCGATTATGCCACAATGATGCGATCTGCCACCGCCCCCAATTTGTGAGTTTGCTCGTAAATCAAACAAGTCGATTATTTGTTACATTTTTTCACAGTTTTCTTTTTTGTTGCATCGCTATTTATCGACGCTTTTGTTTGGGCCGCAAGCTGTACGCGAATCTGAACACTTTATGCATCACAGATGCTCTGTTCGTTCAGCACGTGAGGCATATTCGTTTTGCTTGGCATTACGAGTATATTCGCGTCTGACCACGCCCACGACCACAGGTTGAAAGGCTTTTCCACCTGGTAGTAGTGTCTTAAGAAAGAGAGAGAGAATAATGCTTAGCTAGTGTATAGAAAAGGACATCTCTGTAGCCATCGGTTATGTAAAGGATATATGGGCTATGTGTTATCGAAATATCGATATATGCAGGTGGCAGCTGGCAGTGAGTGGTGTAGTCTACTGAAAGTGAAGTCATGTAAGCAGATCCGAGAAATGTGCTTTATCTATCCTATATCCATACTCTATCTAATATCTAGATCTTTAGTTCTCGTAATCAGTATCCTTTTGCATTATATATGTATGTACATATGTTCACGCTTATAAGTATAAACTAGGGATTGCATATTTACTCCCGTGAATAGACCAATTTTGAATATCTTTCTTCTGACCACCCAAATTATATTTCATATATTAGAACTAGATATCTGGATTGCGATCGATCGCTTTGATTCGATTAAGAAGTTGTATCTAGTACATGGGCTAGTTCAAAATTCATTTACCATACATACATAAGTATATGTATATACATACATATGTATATGTGTGCATACAAAAGTGTGGAATGATTGCAATGGCTTCTGTGCGCAGGACTCTGGGTATACCCTAGTCAGGTATACCCTACCCCTCCCGCTCATAGCACTCTTATTTGATCTTGGGATTTTTTCTTTTGAGATTTTCTTTGAAATATTAGAATACTAAATACTGTATATAGTTCAAAAGTTATCCTCAATATTCCTGTTTCTATTTTGTACTTTAAAATTTGCATGTAAATTTTCTAAAATTATCTCATAAGACCTATAATTCTGATGTTCGTTTCATTTAAATAATCTAATACTCTTCCTTTGGATTTGCCCATAAGCGTCGGAATATTCTGCTCTATAGAAATCCTGGTATTGAATATTGTTTCATATGGATTTTTAGGGCGGATACTCCCTGAAAGATTGCAATAATCTGTTTCATTGTACCTTAATAAT